TAGATAGATAGATAGATAGATAGATAGATAGATAGATAGATAGATAGATAGATAGATAGATAGATAGATAGATAGATAGATAGATAGATAGATAGATAGATAGATAGATAGATAGATAGATAGATAGATAGATAGATAGATAGATAGATAGATAGATAGATAGATAGATAGATAGATAGATAGATAGATAGATAGATAGATAGATAGATAGATAAGATAGATAGATAGATAGATAGATAGATAGATAGATAGATAGATAGATAAGATAGATAGATAGATAGAATAGATAGATAGATAGATAGAATATCGTACAACAAGTATATAATGAAGAATCCACTCATGAATCAACAGTTTCTTTTACTAACTTTAAGGCTATTTGTTGTTGTATATGTTGCTGGCATTTGGTTGTAGCCGTAAACTGCAAAAAGTAACTTTGAATGAATCATTTCATTACAAATTACAACAACAAAAATAACAAGAAATATGTATGTTTGTGTATGGAAAATATTATACAACTAATTACATGGAAACCACTTTCTCTAGCAACAAAAGGATTTTTTTATAGTTGTAGAAAATAGCAACAGAAATTGCACAAGAATAGACCGACCTCCTTCTCCTATTTAAAGACCCCCACTGTTTAATTTTTTAAGGGTAGAAAAAGCTTAATTATTTATTGTTAGATTAAAATTCGTTTTACCGTTGTATGCCTTGAGGTTTTGAAAAAAATGGGGTTTAAAAAGAATTTATGAGTTAAATTTTTTCGTCGTTGTTGTTTTTTTGTAAAATTTTACAGCAGTCGAGGTCAAAACAAGTGTAATAAGGAAGTGTGGTCTTAGTTAGAACTCATACTACATAACTGTTAGAGGTAAGGGGTTAAACATAAGTCATTCATATGGGAATAAAGGGATATAATACTTTGTTAAGGGTTTGTCCGATTTTAATAAAATTTCATACGCCTAGAGAGGAAGTGTTGTCGAGGTAAATTTTTGAATTTGAATATTACTAGTAAACTAATAAACTAACTATAGATTAGACTAGATTGTAGATTAGACTAGATTATAGATTAGACTAGATTATAGACTAGACCAAACTATGGGCTAGACTAGACTATAGACTTGACTATAGACTTGACTATAGACTTGACTATAGACTTGACTATAGACTTGACTATAGACTTGACTATAGACTAGACTATAGACTAATAGACTAGACTATAGACTAGACTATAGACTAGACTATAGACTAGACTATTAGACTAGACTATCGACTAGGACTATAGAGACTAGACTATAGACTAGACTATAGACTAGACTATAGAGACTAGACTATAGACTAGACATAGGACTAGACTATAGAGACTAGACTATAGACTAGACTATAGAATAGACTATAGACTAGACTATAGAGACTAGACTATAGACTAGACTATAGAGACTAGACTCTATAGACTAGACTATAGAAGGACTAGGAACCTATAGAATAGACTATAGACTAGACTATAGACTAGACTATAAGACTAGACTATAGACTAGGACTATAGAGACTAGGACTATAGACTAGACTATAGAGACTAGACTATGAGACTAGGACTATAGAGACTAGACTATAGAGACTAGACTATAGAGACTAGACTATAGCGACTAGACTATAGAGACTAGACTATAGAGACTGACTATAGAGACTAGACTATAGAGATAGACTATAGAGACTAGACTATAGAGACTAGACTATAGAGACTAGACTATAGAGACTAGACTATAGAGACTAGACTTAGAGACTAGACGATAGAGGACTAGACTAGAGACTAGACTATAGAGACTAGACTATAGAGACTAGACTATAGAGACTAGACTATAGAGACTAGACTATAGAGACTAGACTATAGAGACTAGACTATAGAGACTAGACTATAGAGACTAGACTATAGAGACTAGACTATAGAGACTAGACTATAGAGACTAGACTATAGAGACTAGACTATAGAGACTAGACTATAGAGACTAGACTATAGAGACTAGACTATAGACAAGACTATAGACTAGACTATAGACTAGACTATAGACTAGACTATAGACTAGACTATAGACTAGACTATAGACTAGACTATAGACTAGACTATAGACTAGACTATAGACTAGACTATAGACTAGACTATAGACTAGACTATAGACTAGACTATAGACTAGACTATAGACTAGACTATAGACTAGACTATAGACTAGACTATAGACTAGACTATAGACTAGACTATAGACTAGACCTATAGACTAGACTATAGACTAGACTATAGACTAGACTATAGACTAGACTATAGACTAGACTATAGACTAGACTATAGACTAGACTATAGACTAGACTATAGACTAGACTATAGACTAGACTATAGACTAGACTATAGACTAGACTATAGACTAGACTATAGACTAGACCTATAGACTAGACTATAGACTAGACTATAGACTAGACTATAGACTAGACTATAGACTAGACTATAGACTAGACTATAGACTAGACTATAGACTAGACTATAGACTAGACTATAGACTAGACTATAGACTAGACTATAGACTAGACTATAGACTAGACTATAGACTAGACTATAGACTAGACTATAGACTAGACTATAGACTAGACTATAGACTAGACTATAGACTAGACTATAGACTAGACTATAGACTAGACTATAGACGACTAGACTAGACTATAGACTAGACTATAGACTAGACTATAGACTAGACTATAGACTAGACTATAGACTAGACTATAGACTAGACTAGACTAGACTAGACTAGACTATAGACTAGACTAGACTATAGACTAGACTAGACTATAGACTAGACTAGACTATAGACTAGACTATAGACTAGACTATAGACTAGACTATAGACTAGACTATAGACTAGACTATAGACTAGACTATAGACTAGACTATAGACTAGACTATAGACTAGACTATAGACTAGACTATAGACTAGACTATAGACTAGACTATAGACTAGACTATAGACTAGACTATAGACTAGACTATAGACTAGACTATAGACTAGACTATAGACTAGACTATAGACTAGACTATAGACTAGACTATAGACTAGACTATAGACTAGACTATAGACTAGACTATAGACTAGACTATAGACTAGACTATAGACTAGACTATAGACTATACTATAGACTAGACTATAGACTAGACTATAGACTAGACTATAGACTAGACTATAGACTAGACTATAGACTAGACTATAGACTAGACTATAGACTAGACTATAGACTAGACTATAGACTAGACTATAGACTAGACTATAGACTAGACTATAGACTAGACTATAGACTAGACTATAGACTAGACTATAGACTAGATATAGACTAGACTATAGACTAGACTATAGACTAGACTATAGACTAGACTATAGACTAGACTATAGACTAGATATAGACTAGACTATAGACTAGACTATAGACTAGACTATAGACTAGACTATAGACTAGACTATAGACTAGACTATAGACTAGACTATAGACTAGACTATAGACTAGACTATAGACTAGACTATAGACTAGACTATAGACTAGACTATAGACTAGACTATAGACTAGACTATAGACTAGACTATAGACTAGACTATAGACTAGACTATAGACTAGACTATAGACTAGACTATAGACGACTATAGACTAGACTATAGACTAGACTATAGACTAGACTATAGACTAGACTATAGACTAGACTATAGACTAGACTATAGACTAGACTAGACTAGACTATAGACTAGACTATAGACTAGACTATAGACTAGACTATAGACTAGACTATAGACTAGACTATAGACTAGACTATAGACTAGACTATAGACTAGACTATAGACTAGACTATAGACTAGACTATAGACTAGACTATAGACTAGACTATAGACTAGACTATAGACTAGACTATAGACTAGACTATAGACTAGACTATAGACTAGACTATAGACTAGACTATAGACTAGACTATAGACTAGACTATAGACTAGACTATAGACTAGACTATAGACTAGACTATAGACTAGACTATAGACTAGACTATAGACTAGACTATAGACATAGACTAGACTATAGACTAGACTATAGACTAGACTATAGACTAGACTATAGACTAGACTATAGACTAGACTATAGACTAGACTATAGACTAGACTATAGACTAGACTATAGACTAGACTATAGACTAGACTATAGACTAGACTATAGACTAGACTATAGACTAGACTATAGACTAGACTATAGACTATAGACTAGACTATAGACTAGACTATAGACTAGACTATAGATAGACTATAGACTAGACAATAGACTAGACTATAGATAGACTAAGACTAGACTATAGACTAGACTATAGACTAGGACTATAGGACTAGACTATAGACTAGACTATAGACTAGAATAGACTAGACTATAGACTAGGACTTATAGACTAGGACTAAGACTATAGACAGTTTTAATTTTTATATTTTCCTTAATATTTCCTTCTACAACTATTTTTTCTTTCTTAAGTATACAACATTTATACAACATTTTGTTAAATTTTTACTTTAATTTAAAATTTTTATTTAAATATTTATTTCTACTACCTACCCTATTACTATTTAATTTTATTACAATTTGTTTTTATCTCAAACAATTTCCAGAAATCCTTACAATTAGAGCAATTAATCGACATCTTTTTGCCTTTATTAACAACTACTACATCAAAAGTCGCAACAAAAGTAACAAAATAAAATTAAATAAAAAATCTCTTAAAACTACATAATTAACATAAATAACAACAACATAGATACAGATTCATTCCATTTATCGCTTCACTTCATACCCATCTGCTGTATCAGCGCTTCTCGCTACGTTTGATTAATGTTTGGTTTTTTATATTATATATTTTTTTGTCTATTGCACTTAATTACTTTCGTTTCTTTTTATTTTATTTGAATTTTATAATTAAATTCTGTGTTTCTTTTTTTTCTGTCTTTTTGTTGTCTGCTCTTTCATATAAAAGGATGTCTGGTTCTTCTTTTCTTTTTGGGATAATCGTAACCTTCAAACTCATCTTCTAACTGTTCCTCCTCCTCTTCACTCTGTTTACGCTTGTATTCATCATGATGTTTCTTGTGCTCTTTGATGGGTACTGGTATGGGCAGGGGCACCTTTTTCACTAAAGTTTTATGATGGACATGGGTATGATGTTTTACCGGTATATGTATTCGTATTCTTAGGAAATATAAACGAAAGAAAAGAGTAAGATAATGATCGTTTAATTGGGAGTTGAAAACGTAATAAATATTATTTTATTATGCATAATTAATGGACTTACTTAAGATTTTCCTTAGAGGGATAGGCTGTGGTTAGAGCCAAAATTAATGTTGTAATACACAAGAAAGTGATAACCTGTCGGGGAGAGAGGAAATGAAATAAGAATTAATAAATTTAAATTGCTAAAAGTTCTTGGCATTTAAATATTTACTACACACAAGTCAGAATACGCTAACATTGCTACTGAAAGCTTTCTGCTAGAGAAAGCTTTTTTTTTACCCTTAGATGTTAAGTACAGCAATATGGTAACTTTTGTATAAAAGCTTTTCTTTTGCTGTTAATGAATATGAATTTAAATTTAAATTGGAATGTTTTGTAATATCTGGGCGGCTCCCAGACTACTCGATCTTAGTAAGTGCAGTATCGATATATCGCAGATCCATCTTTTATTATCTTGCATTAGTCCTCCTTAACGGAAAATCCTATGTAAAATTTCTAAAAATAATTTTCATTGAGAAAATTTGGAGGAATTAAAATAAAAATAAGTCGATCCAACTTAAAAATTTTATAAAATGTACTTGTTTAAAGCCTTTTTAAAGCAGTCATCGGCCCTTAATGAAGATACGGGGTTTTCTTCGAAAGAAGTGAAAAGAACCCTAAACCTAAATTTTGAAGTTGGACTGTTGGACTTTTCAACGCTACATCATTTTTCATAATGGATAATTTCTGATTTCTGACTGTTAGATACTTCACTCGATTTAAATCAAGGCCCGACTTTCAATATACATAAGAAATTTTATAACAGATTTTAATTTGGCACATTTTGAGAATTATGTTTGCAAGTAGACAGCATCTTAAATTTTGCTAGAATTTGTTCTGTTTTGGCCCTAGGTAATCGGCGCTTTCGTTTAGGTCTTATAATGGTCCAGAAAATGGTCTTTTATGTTTTCACCCAAAAATCGAGTTTTAGTGGTCACAGATTTTTAATCCTTTTTGTCCTAGGGCCTTCCGTTTAGCCAGAAAAATGGACTTTTATGTTTTCACTAAAAAATCGAATTTTGGTGGGAAATATAAGTGATCACAGATTTTAATCCTTTTTGCACTAGGGCCTTCCGTTTAGCCAGAAAATGGACTTTTATGCTTTCACTAAAAAATCGAATTTTGGTGGGAAGTAAGTGTGATCACAGATTTTAATCCGTTTTGCCCTTGGACCTTCCGTTTAGCCAGAAAATGGACTTTTATCGAATTTTGGTGGGAAGTAAGAGTGATCACAGATTTTAATCCCATTTTGCCCTAGAGCCTTCCGTTTAGCCAGAAATGGACTTTTATGTTTTCGCAAAAAAATTGAGTGATCACAGATTTTAATCCGTTTTGCCTTATGACCTTCCATTTAGCCAGAAAATGGACTTTTATGTTTTCACTAAAAATCGAATTTTGGTGGGAAATATAAGTGATCACAGATTTTAATCCTTTTTGCCCTAGGGCCTTCCGTTTAGCCAGAAATGTACTTTTATGTTTTCACTAAAAATCGATTTTTGGTGGGAAATATAAGTGATCACAGATTTTAATCCTTTTGCCCTAGGGCCTTCCGTTTAGCCAGAAATGTACTTTTATGTTTTCACTAAAAATGAGTTTTGGTGGGAAAAATGAGTAATCGCAGATTTTAATCCGTTTTGCCCTAGAGCCTTCCGTTAGCCAGAAATGTTCACTAAAAAATTGAGTTTTGGTGGGAAATATGAGTGATCACAGATTTTAATCCTTTTTACCCTAGGTAATCGCAGATTTTAATCCGTTTTGCCCTAGGGCCTTCCGTTTAGCCAGAAAATGGACTTTTATGTGTTCACTAAAAAATTGAGTTTTGTTGGGAAATATAAGTGATCACAGATTTAAATCCTTTTTCACAAAAAAATTGAGTTTTGGTGGGAAATAGAAGTGATTACAGATTTTAATCCGTTTTGCTCTAGGACCTTCCGTTTAGCCAGAAAATGGACTTTTATGTTTCCACTAAAAAATCGAATTTTGGTGGGAAATATAAGTGATCACAGATTTTAATCCTTTTTGCCCTAGGGCCTTCCGTTTAGCAGAAAATGGACTTTTATGTTTTCACTAAAAAATTGAGTTTTGGTGGGAAATATAAGTGATCACAGATTTTAATTTTTTTTGCCCTAGGGCCTTCCGTTTAGCCAGAAAATGGACTTTTATGTTATCACTAAAAAAATCGAATTTTGGTGGGAAATATGAGTGATCACAGATTTTAATCCGTTTTGCCCCTAGGGCCTTCCGTTTAGCCAGAAATGGACTTTTATGTTTTCACTAAAAAATTGAATTTTGGTGGGAAATATGAGTGATCACAGATTTTAATCCGTTTTGCCTAGGACCTTCCGTTTTAGCCAGAAAATGGACTTTTATGTTTTCACTAAAAAATCGAATTTTGGTGGGAAATATAAGTGATCACAATGGACTTTTATGTTTTCACTAAAAAATTGAATTTTGGTGGGAAATATAAGTGATCACAGATTTTAATCCTTTTTGCCCTACGGCCTTCCGTTTAGCCAGAAAATGGACTTTTATGTCTTCACTAAAAAATTGAATTTTGGTGGGAAATATAAGTGATCACAGATTTTAATTGTTTTTGCCCTAGGGCCTTCCGTTTAGCCAGAAAATGGACTTTTTATGTTTTCACTAAAAAATCGATTTTTGGTGGTGGGAAAATAAGTGATCAGAAATTTTAATCCGTTTTGCCCTAGAGCCTTCCGTTTAGCCAGAAATGGACTTTTATGTTTTCACTAAAAAATTGAGTTTTGGTGGGAAATATGAGTGATCACAGATTTCAATCCTTTTAGCCCTAGAGCCTTCCGTTTAGCCAGAAAATGGACTTTTATGTTTTCACAAAAAATCGAATTTTGGTGGGAAATATAAGTGATCATAGATTTTAATCCTTTTTGCCCTAGGGCCTTCCTTTTAGCCAGAAAATGGACTTTTCTGTTTTCACTAAAAAATTGAATTTTGGTGGGATGGAATATAAGTGATCACAAATTTTAATCCGTTTTGCCCTAGAGCCTTCCGTTTAGCCAGAAAATGGACTTTTATGTTTTCACTAAAAAATTGAATTTTGGTGGGAAATATAAGTGATCACAGATTTTAATCCTTTTAGCCCTAGAGCCTTCCGTTTAGCCAGAAATGGAACTTTTATGTTTTCACTAAAAATCGATTTTTGGTGGGAAATATAAGTGATCACAGATTTAATCCGTTTTGCCCTAGAGCCCGAAATTGCCCGAATTTTGGTGGGAAATATGAGTGATCACAGATTTTAACTTATTTTGCCCTAGGGCCTTCCGTTTAGCCAGAAAATGGACTTTTATGTTTTCACTAAAAAAATGAATTTTGGTGGGAAATATGAGTGATCACAGATTTTAATTGTTTTTGCCCTAGGACCTTCCGTTTAGCCAGAAAATGGACTTTTATGTTTTCACTAAAAAATCGAATTTTAGTGGGAAATATAAGTGATCACAATTTTAATCCTTTTTGCCCTGGGCCTTCCGTTTAGCCAGAAAATGGACTTTTATGTTTTCAGTAAAAAATCGAACTTTGGTGGGAAATATAAGTGATCACAGATTTTAATCCTTTTTGCCCTAGGGCCTTCCGTTTAGCCAGAAAATGACTTTTATGTTTTCACTAAAAAATCGATTTTTGGTGGGAAATATAAGTGATCACAGATTTTAATCCTTTTTGCCCTAGGGCCTTCCGTTTAGCCAGAAAATGGACTTTTATGTTTTCACTAAAAAATCGATTTTGGTGGGAAATATAAGTGATCACAGATTTTAATCCGTTTTGACCTAGAGCCTTCCGTTTAGCCAGAAAATGGACTTATGTTTTCACTAAAAAATGAATTTTGGTGGGAAATATGAGTGATCACAGATTTTAATTGTTTTGCCCTACGGCCTTCCGTTTAGCCAGAAAATGGACTTTTATGTTTTCACTAAAAAATCGAATTTGGTGGGAAATATAAGTGAATTTTGGTGGGAAATATAAGTGCCCGTTTAGCCAGAAAATGACTTTTATGTTTTCACTAAAAAATCGATTTTTGGTGGGAAATATAAGTGATCACAGATTTTAATTGTTTTTGCCCTAGGACCTTCCGTTTAGCCAGAAAATGGACTTTTATGTTTTCACTAAAAAATCGAATTTTAGTGGGAAATATAATTGATCACAGATTTTAATCCTTTTTGCCCTAGGGCCTTCCGTTTAGCTAGAAAATGGAATTATATGTTTTCACTAAAAAATCGATTTTTGGTGGGAAATATAAGTGATCACAGATTTTAATCCTTTTTGCCCTAGGGCCTTTCGTTTAGCCAGAAAATGGACTTTTATGTTTTCACTAAAAAATCGAATTTTAGTGGGAAATATAATTGATCACAGATTTTAATCCTTTTTGCCCTAGGGCCTTCCGTTTAGCTAGAAAATGGAATTTTATGTTTTCACTAAAAAATCGATTTTTGGTGGGAAATATAAGTGATCACAGATTTTAATTTTGCCCTAGGACCTTCCGTTTAGCCAGAAAATGGACTTTTATGTTTTCACTAAAAAATCGAATTTTAGTGGGAAATATAATTGATCACAGATTTTAATCCTTTTTGCCCTAGGACCTTCCGTTTAGCCAGAAAATGGACTTTTATGTTTTCACTAAAAAATCGAATTTTAGTGGGAAATATAAGTGATCACAGATTTTAATTGTTTTTGCCCTAGGACCTTCCGTTTAGCCAGAAAATGGACTTTTATGTTTCCACTAAAAAATCGAATTTTGGTGGGAAATATAAGTGATCACAGATTTTAATTGTTTTTGCCCTAGGACCTTCCGTTTAGCCAGAAAATGGACTTTTATGTTTTCACTAAATAATCGATTTTTGGTGGGAAATATAAGTGATCACAGATTTTAATTTTTTGCCCTAGGACCTTCCGTTTAGCCAGAAAATGGACTTTTATGTTTTCACTAAAAAATCGATTTTTGGTGGGAAATATAAGTGATCACAGATTTTAATCCTTTTTGCCCTAGGGCCTTCCGTTTAGCCAGAAAATGGACTTTTATGTTTTCACTAAAAAATCAATTTTGGTGGGAAATATAAGTGATCACAGATTTTAAT